CTTTAGAAAGGAAAATCCATTGAGCAAGTTCAGGCCAGCTCTCATTACAGGCTTCCTAAATTTATTCATGGAAAATTAAATATTTTCTTTAGATAGGTAGATAGGTACATATCTGTGTCTCCAAAGTGGTTTCAGGCTCTCAGTTTGTAAACTAATGGATAAAATTCCCTTTGCAGCACTACCTAGTGTGGCTCCATGTTATTATGGTCATGGAAACGAAATTAAGAACATGTGGCTGACCTTTCCCAGCTCAGGTTTGTCTTCCCAAAGGAAGTGTGTAGAATACCAACCACCTGGTTTATCCTGTATTTCCTTTCCATTGGAGGTTTATTTCACCATTCCCAGAAGTGAAGGAAATCCTGTTTCAACACAGCCTCTTCTTGTCCACTGGACCTGTGCTGGAATCACAGAACAGAATATTCCCAGCTGGAAGGGACCCATATGGACCATCAAGTCCAGTTGAAGGAGGGAGGTATTGGGTTTGGGGCCCTTGGGATGTGGCCCTTTGCAAATGACAGAGAAACAGTGATGACCCCCATGCTGGGGGACACAAAGCAGGTAGCAGAGAGGAGAGGTGGGAGAAATGTTCCTTGACAGTTTTGAAGTTTAAGCAAGAATCAGAGTTCTGTAATGTGGATGACCTCATGTTTGTGTTTTGGTTTGGGTTTTTTTACGCCCTGTATTTTGTACTGCTCTTCCAGAGTAGGTCTGTGGCGTTCACATTCCCTGAACATGATTCCTTAGCCCAGGATTTTTCTCCTGGGAAGCTGAAAGGCAGCGAGAAGCCCCCCAAAAAGGGAAAACAATTCTTATCTCATTTGCTTCTCCTGTGTTGTGCTCATGTGAAATGTGTTTAGAGATTGTTTACCCAAAAGTGATTGCCTGATCAGACTCTGGTGTGAGTTGTTTTGACTCATTGGCCAATTGGGGCCAAGCTGTGTCAGAACTCTGGAAAGAGTAATGAGTTTTCATTATTATATTTTTAGCATTCAGTAAGTATCTTTTCTGTATTCTTTAGTATAGTATAGTATGGTATTCTTTAATATAATATGGTATAGTAAAGTAATAAATTAGCCTTCTGATAAGATAGAGTCAAATGCATCATTCTCTCCTTTTGTCGGGGTTGCCTGCATTTACAATATAGGGCAGTACCTCCAACTGGAGAATAACAAAATAGCTGTTATTACCTCCTCTTCTAAAACCAGGCCTGCATCCTTCATGTGCTTTGGGCTGACTGTTCAGGTGCATCAGCTTGTGGACTGAAAGAAGGAGGATGTTGCAATTGAGAAGAAAGGATTTACTCCTTGGGGTTCAATTGTCTGCAGTTAGGGAGAGGAGAAGCAATTATGAGCAATTCCAGTGCCTGACCAGTGCACAAAGCCAGTCCATCTCCCTGGGATCCACATACCATTCTGCTGTAGTTAGGTGTCAGATTCAAGGAGCTGGAGTCTTTGTTCTTTTTGGCAAAACACTGGACTTTCCATAGGAACATCCAGCACCTTGTATTTTTGCTGGGTGACTAAATGACAGAAGATTCTTTCAGCAAGATCTTACATGAAGTTCCATCTTCTGCTTCTCTGCAAATGAACTTGGTCGAGGCTCAATGTATGGATGCAGGGGAACAGGGAAGAGCTGTCACCAAGTGTGTCCAGTGCTTGTCCTGCTGTTGTCTCCTTCAAAAGAGAGCCTCAGATCAGATCCCACCACTTCCAGGATGTGCTTGGCACAAATTCAAGCATTTTGCTGCCTGCTCAGAATGCCGTTTTTTTCTCTTCTCTCTCTGAGTCTTGCAGTCCTGAAATGGAGCACATTCCCCACAACCAGCGTGGAACACACCTGTTTCTCCTAGGGAACCAGGGTGTGGTCATGGCATTTGTGTGCTGCAGTCTCACAGCCTTGCCAGATTTGGGCCCTGGAGGCTCTTCCCATATTCCCCAAATGGATGGAAAAGCAAAAACTCATGTATGTTGATGATGATTAAACACAGCTTTCTGATACTATGTAAATAATTTTGATACTTAGTCTATGAGTCACAGGCATTTGTAAAAAACTTCAGCCTTTGTTTCCAGCAATCCTATCCATCTGAAAGCATGTGCATTTCAAAACAGGTCTTCTGTGTGGAAGATACATTAAAATTAAAAATCGTGTATTCTGCCTTATCTAGCCTGTTTTTTTCTTTTTTTCTACAAGTTCTTCAAACCAGGTAACAAAAATAGTTTAGTTCTATTCAATCAAGTTTAGTCTGATTTTTAAAATCCTATTGCAGAACTTCAGTGTTTCAGGCTGCATGGTATCAAAATATACTTTATTAGACAGGAGGGCTCTTTGGAACTTCAGTCATTGGAATGTTCTTCTCAGTCCTAGCTTTTAACAGCTGGTTTCTATGAAATGTAAACTTCTACCACTGGGATTTAGCATGCTTAATTTGTTCAGCATATAGGTACCATCTCAGTCAATAAACAACTCTTTTTCACTGTCATTTTTTCCACCTTCCTGAATCATACTGCATTTTAGTCTTTAATTCCAGGTAATTTTTCTTTTTTAAACAAACAAAAAGCATGCAAAACTGCATTTCCTTGCACATGTAGGGCACATGTAGAATGCATCCATGTTATCAGAGTTGTAGGAGTGTGTCAGTTTTTACAGAAGAAAAGATGCAGTTTTTACCTCAAGATCACATGGATTTACTTGAATGGTGCAGAGTAGATTTTCTTTCTGAATCCCTCTAAAAAAATTAAATGCTGTCCTGTGAAGCTGGGTTAGCCCAGACTGAGACACCAGGCTGCAGTTCCCAGGATGGCCTGGGATAATACACAGGAATCACCAGGGTGTGTTTCACAGCTGGAGCTGGAAGAGGCTCGCATCTTTATCTTTCCTTCTTCCTTCTCCTCTCTTTTCCTTTGTCTTGCACTGTGATGGTATTTCTTTGTCCATCTCACTGTCCTTTTGCCTGTACCTGTCTGCATCTACTGCTCAGTCCTTTTCCCTCGCTGTACTCTTCTCTTTATAACCCTCTGTCCTGCTGCCCATCCCTCTCTTTCTCCATCCCTCTGCTGCTCCTTCCCCCCACACCCACCTGCCATGGTCATTTTCTCTCTCTGTCCTTGCTTCCCTCTTTGTCTCTGTATCCCTCTGTCCTTCCTGTGTGTTTGCCACTCTGTCTTTTTATTTTTCCTTCTTGTGTACCTTTTTATTCCCTTGTTAGGGAAATTAATCCACAAACACCAGAGGTAATGTCCAAAAAGGAGACAGAGGAGTCCTTTTTTGGCTTTATTCGAATAAAGGGAGAGGCCATGGGGCATTCCCCTGGGATATCTCAAATTTTTGGAGGATGCAGCCTCATTTTTATCCTAATTTCCTGGCTGCATTTCCCTTCTCTCTTTCCCCATTGGCTGAGGTACTTGAGAGGTACAGACTCCCTGATACACCTGATACTAAAGATTTCCCTCTAATGTATTTAATTTTAATTGATATGGAATTTAGGGGTTTTTCTTCCTCATTGTTTCTTTCATCTTTCAATGTCTTACTTCATTTAGCAGCAAACCTAAAGTTTATTTGTAAAAGCAAACGTCTTTTTCCATTCATCAATCAGTGGAATCCTTCAGATTGTTTCTTTTATCTCCCAGTGCTAGTTTTATCTACCAGCAGACCCACAGCTTGTTTGTAAAGACAAATCTGCTATTCCTCTCACCCTGTTGCTCTGTCCTGTTCCCTGTGCCATTGTTTTTCACTGGATCCTTCTGTCCCGTTCCCCGTCCCTATTCTTTTTTAACCCCTCTCCATTGTGCTGCCCATCCCAGCTGTTTTTATTTCATCTCCATTCCGCCCCCTGTTCTTCCTTTTCTTCCTCTCTGCTTTCATTCCCGGTTTATCTGTCCCTGGTGCTCCCAGGGAGCACCAGACAGCAACCAGGAAACAACAGACAGAACAAGAGGACACAGTGTCAAGCTGCGCCAAGGGAGATACAGGCTAGAATTAAGGAGGAAGTTTTTCACAGAAAGAGTGGTCAAATACTGGAATCATCTGCCCAGGGAGGTGGTGGAGTCACCATCCCTCAATGTGTTTAAAAAAAGACTGGATGTGCCATGATGCCATGATCTAGTTGAGGTGTTAGAACATGGGTTGCACTCGATGATCTTAAAGGTCTCTTCCAACCCAGAAATTCTGTGATTCTGTGATCGCACTGCTGGATGGGTCCGTGAGTGCAGGTTGGGATCCTGGGGCTCCAGCCCCGCCGGGGTCCTGCAGTGGCAGGGACGGGAGGATGTCGCAGACATCTTTTATGAAAAATCCTTTCCTTAGGATTTTTCCTCCTGAGAAGCTGGGAGGCCTCAGGAACAAAATGTAAACAATGGTTATCTGCTGCTGTGGAATGCAACAGGTGCATCTGTGATTGGTCTCATCTGGTTGTTTCTTATTAATGGCCAATCACGGTCAGCTGGCTCAGACTCTCTGTCTGAGCCACAAGCCTTTGTTATC